TTCTGCAGGTCTTCCAGACGACTTTGCTTATAAACCGACAGATGAGGGGTCACTTCCTGAAAGGCAGACAAAAAGGACAAGGATGGAATTAATACATGAATAAATGAGAGGTACAGGCACATACTAACAGTAAAAAAAAGCAGCGTTGTTGCAGTGATAGATTGTTACCTGGAAGAGGCAGTCATAGTGGAACATATGGCCACACAGGAATAGATAGAAGGGCCTGTTGAGTAATGGGAAGTCACAAGCAGCACACTTTTCTTGGGAATCCACGACACCATATTTGTTCCTCATTTCCTGAATGTCTTCTCTGATGCGTTTAGCGCTTTCTGTGGCCTCCTCCATTTCCTGCTTCAGCTCCTCGATGTGCTGATTGTACTCCTCCAGGGAGCTGCAGATAGCCTCCTAAGAAACCGTAATAAATAGAAAATGAAGAAGTGCATTCATTTCAACAAACATGCTGTGTTTGCTGTACGTACACAGCTTTTTTATGTAAACCAAACACTAAGCCAACATTTTTTTTTTTGTAGAGGGCACCCAGGTTTAACTTCTATAGTCAATGACACCTGAAGTCACACAATAGGTTTTTGTTGATAAAATGACTTGTGTAAGTGTCAATAACAAGAAACAGAAAAAGGAAATACTTCCTCCCTCACCTTAAAATGGTCAATGGTGACAAAGTCTGGGAAGAAGGGCAGGATGTCTTCAATTTTGAGCAGATTGCAGCTGGACAGACAGTTCATGGCTTTCTTCACATCTTTCTCCTCCTGCACCACATGCCGAGCAATTTTAAGCCAAAGCTTTTTCCTCAGCTCCTCATCGTCCTCAGGCAGGTCTGCACAGGACTTGGCCAAGTCTACATCCACCTATGGACAATAATTATTATGCGAGTTAGAGACATTTGTCTGTATAAGACTTAAGATAGCAGGAATCTTTTATAATAACCTGGATTCATATTTGTACATGATAAAAAAAAAAAAATACAGATGGATGCATTTCAAATGAAATCACTTACTTGTAAAGCAAGATCCACCGCCTCCTCGTACAGCTCCATAATTCTATAAACCAGGACACAGGCCCGGAGGTAGCCATGTTCTGCACACAGTCTGAGGGCATACTTCAGGTCATAGTGGATCTCTGAGGCATGTGTTCCTGCCTGCTCCAGATACCAGAGCAAAGAGTCTGGCTTATACTTGGCATAAAGAGACAGCAGGTAGTTGTGTATGGCCTCCTCTGTCACTGTCAGCTCGTACACACAGAACTCCATGTAGCGGATGGTTTCGTTAATCTGCTGGGTGCTTCCCATCTGGCTGTAGTTCATCAGAGCCGGGATTAGCTTCTTAGGGTCCAGTCGCTTGCCCATTTGAATCCATGCATCCACCACTTTTTTGGGAATGTGCTGCATGAGGACCGGGGAGAACTTGTAGAAAAGCTTTTGATCACAATGCTTAGAGAGGACTTCCAGAGCGGCACTGTAGTCGTCATGTTGGCAGTAGTGGGATATTACTCTCTCGTAATCCTGCATAACAACTGAGAAGTAAACCATGTCATCAACATTGCCGTGGCTGGCTAGCAGGTCGTAGATGGTGCTGCGGTTGTTGTACAGGCACTCTTTGTGCTTGGAGTTGCTCAGGAAGTTGCGAAATTCCTCGCGGGTCTCCTGGAAAATGAGGCTGTTGCCGTCGCTCTCCAGCTGGCCGAGTCGGTTCAGGTAGAGCTCGGCAAGCCAGGTGACCAGCAGGGTGATCTGCGTTCTCTCACCCTGTTTCAAATTATTCAGTTTCTTCAGCAAGAACTCCTTCAGGGCTTCTTCTTGTTTGGCTTCGATAAACTTGAGCGCGATCTCCTCAAAGTAGTTCTGAGTCAGTGCGTAGCATTTAGCGCTCTCAATGTAACGTTTGTTTTGGAAGCAGTGCTCTGCCTCCTTGGCCAGCACCATGTCCATGCACTCAGGCCGGTCTCTGCAGTACTCCTTAGCCAGATCAAATTTACTCATGCTCATGTACATCTGCCACACGTCCCTGGCCTCGCGCTGGACGTGGTACCTGAAAACCGCCCGCTCGGTGTAAATCCACACCAAGCCGCCAATTGGGTCTTTAATCATTCTCTTAAGGGTGCCAAATTTATCTGGGAACACATCCTCATAAACCACCTGTCCGTTCAGGGTGCAGATGGCTTTTACTCTGTCATGGAGCAGCAGCAGGAAGTGGAACTGAGTCAGCACAATGGAGATGGGCTTGTTGACACTTAGATCAATGTCCGGGGTGTACTCCCATACCTTTTACAATGCAAGGAAGGGAAAATGGAGAAAAAATGTGAAACATAGAGTCAGAACAAAAAGGTACATTTTGAGAGGCGTAAACTACACTTTAAGGAGAGAACCGTAAGCATTACCTGCACATCACTCAACAGGGAATCAGGCCTGACATAGTCCAGCTGACCATAAAGAACTCCGTTTCCCATCATCCAGGCAAAAGCCTTAGGGGAGTTTCTGAGTTTTGATGTGTAGAAGGTGATCTCACTGTAGCCCATGTTGGCGGGGAATTCCTGGAAACTGGGCAGGAGGTCCTGGTTCTGGCTGAAGATGGAGCTGAAGCCCTGCTGCTCGGACCCCTCAGCCACCTTCCCCACGAACTGGAACAGGCGTTTGCGGGTGGTGGCAATGATGAAGTACTTGTTCTCCAGGCCCCGCTCCACCTCCAGGCAGCAGACTGGTGCAGGTTTCCCATCCTCCTCCAGGGAATGGACCTGTCTCAGGTGGAAAATGTGTTGTTGTTGTTTTTTTACAGTTGGATTCACAACAGATAAATCAAGGATGTTGGTTATTTTTTCAGAGTTTCTATTGATTACAGATGTATGGAAAGACCTCAAAGTAACACCAAACTTATTATACCCAAAAAAATTGGCGTTCTTGGGGCAAAGATTTATAAGCATCAAAACTGGATAACACAAGCTAAATGCTATAAAAAAAAACCCTCATCAGCCTCTGACCTGTCTGAAGAACTGATCTGGATTGGTGTTGAAAAGGCTGCCCTCAGTTGTAGAGATCTCCGCCTCAAAGATGATGCCTTGACTGGTGCCAACCAGAATGGGTCCTGTGTTGGTCTCATTTCCCAGCAGCTTGTTCCAGCCGATGCTTTCGATGAGGTGGCCTCTCCAGCGGGACAGACCGCGCACTTTCTGAGTGTTCCTGTTGAGGTACAGACACTCGCTGGTGCTCAAGCTGATCAGCAGATGGGAGCCTGAAGCATGATAATAAGGAGGAGGAAATACTTTCTGTAAATAAGCCATTAATAAAAACACTTCCAAAGTAATCCAAACATTGATTTAGAAACATCTGGTGTTTATTTTTGAGGCTTGCTGTCTCTAAATCGGTTTTATTTGTCAAGACAAAATGGTACAAGTATGATATTTAAAGAAGCACAAAAGGCAATATGAACAATATCCCATTTCTGTGACTTCTGAAAGCGACATCTAATGAAGATATAGTTTTCTCACCAGTGGGGTCCAGGAACAGTTTGTGCACTTTGCTTTCATCTTTCCTTCCTAAGTCAGTCTGATTGGGCTGATCAGGCTTGGCCAAGTCAATCCTATATAGTGCAATACAACATAAAACATTAGTATCAGCGTCTTGTTTGAGACCAGCAAACAAAAGATGAGTATCACTAATCACAGCAAAGACCATCAAGTGGGTCAAACTAATCAAATCAAAACCTAACAAGCAATAGTGAGCATGATCACAGTGTTATGATAGTGTTATTTGCCTCAGCAGAGTGTCCTTTCCCAGACTCATGCACAGCTGATTGTTGCAGACTGCCAGATGGTTTATCTTCTCAGGGGGGGTAAAATCGATCCTCTGCTTGTTGAATATCGGCTTCTCTTCCTCGAGTCTCACGTTTACAAAACCTGGCGAACGAGCACAACTTCATGTCAAGCAAAGGCCTTCAGTCCATATAATGACTTCGACATTTAAGTGTGTGCTTGTACACTCCTCAAAGGCGACTAAATTGTCATTACATCCTTGCAGACAGGGCGACCTACCTGAATGAGTTAAGCCGATGTTTGCAGAAGACAAGCGGCTCCGCTGCTGCGCACTTTGCCTGCTGTTTTGCGAGTCCTCGTACTCGTCAAGAATTGAAGCCATTGTTGAACTGACCTTGTTTTGCCTTAACACGCTATCCGCAAAGGAGGAATGAACAGATTTTTTTAAAAGAAGACTGACGACGTAATTATCCTAAAGGGACATGGCTAAACAGCTAGCTAGCTTTCACCACCGCCAGCCGTCCAGGAAACTGTACAAGAGGAACTTCCTCTCGACTCTTTTACCTTAACTGAGAAGCAAAGAGCAAAACACACGAATAGCTAACATGTGATTGTATTATACTTCAACCATTCATAACTATACCTACAACAACTAGCCTAGCCTCCGACTACACAACACAGGGTGGACCCGGAGAATCAGGTGACACATGGGATCATGTGACCACATCTGTTGTAAGTGTTGTAATCTGACACCAGGGGGCGCAGTTTGTCCAAATAAGAAAACCTTTAATGTTACTTTTTTTTTTTTTTTAGAAATGAGTTGGGTAGACATTCATTTTAAAATATGACGTGCATTATTTTATTTTTTTAGTGATGTACATACTATGTATATCAACGTGTTGTATTCATCTTATTATTCACGCTTTATTATGAAATTAATTTGTGAATAAAATGGAATTATAACCATTGCTTTACAGATCCTTTGCATCTATTGCAAAAATAAACAACTTGGGCTATGTTAAATAAAGGCAACTAAAAAAAAACCATTACTACTTAATATAAAATAACAAACTTAAGACGTCAAAATAACTTGAGCCAAGAATAAATATACAGAAAGTAAACAACAATAATTCATCTTTTGTGGGAGTGTCTATGTAAATCACAACCTGTCCGATCACAAACTTACCCTAAAAAACGTCCCTCCCCACACATGTGTCCCGTCATTCAGAACAGGATAGGTAACCTGGCGGTAGGTAGGCAAAGAAGACACTGACTAGCTCTCTCCAGTATTATCATTAAGATCGGAAAACGGGAAAGTCTGCGTTTTGAGGTTTAATGTGCGGCTCGACATGCCACCTAACATGGATTATTTCTACCACGAGTCCCGAGTCCCTTCCTCTTGCGGGCTGACCCGGGAGGACGAGCTGGAGCCCGGGGTGATCAGCTGTATGCTGGTCGGAGACGGAGCTGTGGGGAAGACCAGCATGATAGTCAGCTACACCTCCAATGGATACCCGGCAGAGTACCAACAGACTGGTTTTGATGTCTTCTCTGGTGAGTTAATTTTATAACTATCAATCTACTCTATTATTACTATCTATCTTGGATCATATGCCATTTCAGCTTTTATGTAGTGATTGATTCTTTGTATGTGCATGTTGAGGAAAGGAGTTCTGCCTGAACCTTTTACTGACTATATATTAGGCTACATAGTATTTATTGACAATGTGAATATAAGGAGTAGCAAGTTTATAGGTAGGCTATAAATTGAAGTAAATCAATAAGTTAGCACGAGAGCTGGTGTTTCTTATTTGGTTCAGTATGGAGGTGATTCATTTGAAATGATGGACTTCAAAAGCTTCCAAGTGTCACTGTTTCCAAGTTAATATGTTGATTGGAGGGTTTAACTTGCGTAGTAGGTATTTGTATCTGCTTCATTTCAGTGCTTGAAATGTTTTATCGCTTTGAAATTTGTGCAAAATAAAGTAAACTAAATTAAAAAATGTTGTGTTTTTTTTTTGTCTACAGGTCAGGTCCAAGTAGAAGGATCTCCGGTCAAAGTTCAGCTTCTGGACACTGCTGGACAGGTAAGATCATAGTTTTGTGTTATTGTGTAATCTAGAAATTATTTAGGTTTGTGCCACCATGTAATTTTTAATGATATTTTTTATTATTTATTTAATCTGTAGTTATAGACACATTTCTTTTCTGATAGTTTTCTGACAGTTGGGAATTTTGTGTCAGTTGATATTTCCATCTTTTTTAACAAATGGCATCTACGCAATTTAATCCCATTGATACCACAATACAGGCCTATTGATTATTTGAAAGTACAGACGTCTTGCTTCATCCCATCTGTGACTCAGTAACACGTTTTCACCACGTAGTGTATGAATGATCTTTTTCTCTGACACCTCTGTGAATCAGCCTCTTTCACTCTACCATGACGAAACCGTTTGTTCAAACCATCCGCTCTTTGTTTCTGTTACTTTCAGGAGGAGTTTGATGAATTCAGAGCTCTGTCCTACGCCCACACAGACGTCTTCCTCCTGTGCTTCAGCATGGTGAACCCCACCTCATTTCACAACATCACCAAGAAGTGGGTTTCAGAGATCCGGGCCCATAACCCTTCCTCACCCATCGTCCTGGTTGGGACTCAGTCGGACCTCTTGCTTGACGTGAACGTCCTCATAAACCTGGACCAATCACATGTCAAGCCAATTCTGAGCTCCAGGGCCCGGAGCATGGCAGAGAAGATCAGGGCCACAGACTACATTGAGTGTTCGTCACTCACACAAAAGAACTTGAAGGAGGCGTTTGACGCGGCTATCTTCGCTGCCATTAAGAGCAAGACTCGCAAGAGCAAGAAGAGGAGGTTTTCGGACAGGCGCACCAAAGCTTTCTCCAGGTGTAGCTGGAAGAAGTTCTTTTGCTTCGTCTAAATACATGAACAGACTTTTAACCCTGTGGGTTGTGGACAGAAATCTTATTTATACTTTTGCCTGATGTCACAGCTCCAGAGTTTTTTTTTTTCCTCTGGGAAGCCAAACTGTGCAGAGAAATATAACATGAGCACAGAGTGAGAGCATTGAGAGCTAACCTCTTTGAAGACAACAGAGAGGATTAAGGGTCATTCCAGGTTTCAGGGTCTGGTTTCACTCAGCATATCTGTGTTGTTTACATTATATACAAATGGTTGATTGTTTCAGGGTTATATGAGAAAACACATCTTAAATGATATAATCAAAGTATGTAAATGCTTTCCTTTCTATGCAGCCACTTGTGAGAAAAGCGCTTTGAACGAAGGCAAAAGGAGGCATAAACATCCCCAACATACAGACAGACAGAGAGAGAGAGAGAGAGAGAGAGAGAGAGAGTGAGAAGCTCAGGCCGTCATGTAAATGTTGTCAATTTGCATGAAGCATGGGCTTTGCAGCCTTCAGTGCAAGTGAGAGAGAAACAGAAAGTGTCCATGCTCTGTTTGAGCAGATGAGTTAGCCACTTCTCGTGTATTCATGCTGTCCGGTTGCTTCATCCTATTTATATGCAGCCAGCTGCAAGTTCATGTTGCAGTGTGAGATGCCACATTCTTACCCGCATGTGAAAGCTTCCCTGGCTGCTATTTTCTAGTCTACAAGTTAATTATCTGGCAAACTTATCATCACTTATAAACATGTTTGGCTAGAGTATTATGAGCTGATCTGTGGAAAGGAAAGAAAGCAGGAGGATTCATTTGATACAAATCAGAAATGATTGTATTTTCTTTGTCTTAATTCCCAGATTGACACAGGAACTTGTTTGGAAATCCTCTTGTCTGAGCTGAAAGGTTGAATGGGAGCTGTAATCATTGTCTTTTTGTCTCTTCCTCCCATCAATCTGCATTTGTGAAAGCTAGCACTGCAGGAGTCTTGACTTCCACCCTGCAGTCCGTCCCACCTGGCTTTTTATATTCGCTCCCTCTTTGTTTGTATTCTCAATACACTCCTTATCCCCTCAAAGGCCCTGTGTGCACAGAGTGAGAGGATGATTCACTGCCTCTTTTGAATGTAAGTGTAAACTAATACACTTTTATAAAAAGCCCTGCAGGTCTGTGATGTATATGTAAAAGTGATCCATATTTTGCATGGCAGCTTGATGATATCTGGAATATATTGAAGTGGTTACAGAGCTTTTCTTTATTATGCTTCTTGTAGAAGTCAACTGAATGTAAATGGTATTCTGTTTGTTTAAACAATGTTATAATGTTTTATGTATATGAAATATGAAAGAAAACATGGATTTGAAATGCATTATTGTACTCCACTAACTGTTTTGGTTATATTTGATATCCCTGTCATCATCTCCTTCTCTAACACGTGTCTTTTTTACATGTCGGAGTGATGTGTTGCAAATAAATGAAGTGCAAATTATAGCCCCTGTGTTATGTGTGTTTTTTAGAACAACTTCCATGAAATGTTATGGCACAAACAACCATCTATCAGATCTCACAGTGGCAGGCAACTTTGCATCCAGGGAACAGATTTGTAAAGGAGTTTTCAGAAGCACTAAAAAAATCTGTGAGCATTGTTCTCTGCAGGGAGTCGGAATAATCCTACTCACCCCTCAGAAGATACCTTTCCTCAACCATTACTCCGTCCAAGGATATGAAAAGAAACCCTTTGGCCTCCAGCCGAGCCTCGGGTTGACCAATTCTAAAACAATCCACATGGCTGCTGATTGGGTCTGGCTGTGCCATGCTGTGACTGACTGCTGTGTCTGAAGCCCCTCTGAAGGGCTAAAGAGATGGATGAGTGAGTCACATTCACTGATTGTGAATAATCAGTACTGGTGTACTCGCTGATCACTTAAATAGATAGTGTATCATTGACGTGTCACTATGAAAACAGCATAAATAAATGCTTTAATGTGCTTGTTTTTAGCCACAGTTTGGTTAAAAAAATTAAAACAAATTGACGGAGGTGTCTTTGTGCAGTAAACTGTGGTAACTGGCAGAGATGTAATGGGTTCAAGAAGCCAGTGTTGACCTGAACGCTGTTCAAAGCGATTTGAATGAGTCACAGATGAACGGAACAAAAAACATGCGTTCATCCTAATTCATCAAAAATCTGGTTGCCTTTAGTCAGAGCTCCATCCGTCATAGCCACCATGGATTCTGTTTGAACCACTCTTTATCAACGGGTTAAAGCAGGACATCCTTCATCTCGGCCTGATGACCTCATATGGAGAGGTCACAGAGCAGAGCTGGTGCTTTGCCATCTGACACTGCTGACATAGCTGGACTCATGATTAACTTTGGTTTGACCCTAAGGGAAGCCGCTGGTGCTAGATTTTGGAAACTTCTCCAGTGACTTTGTCGGATGGAAACCAATTAGTGTAGCTATGATTCAAGAGTGTGAAGCTATTGTGAGATATTTTGAAACGGTTCGATTGTGCTGATAGCTCACTGGAGCTTTTGGCATCTTTCAAATCATGCTATTGGTTTTAGAGCCCGTACCTTTTTATGTTCTGGTTAAGTTTTACTTGATTTCAGATGTGACAGACTGTGGTTTTCTTAAATTAAACTTTAAAGCCCATCGTCCGAACAACAAATCAAAGGGGGTTACAGCTAGCTGCAAATACATGAATATAGTAATGTAGCTGCTAAAGAGTCAGGTAATTCCCTGAGGTTTCGGCTAATATGAAAAACAGAGCTAAAAGAACAGTGATTACTGGACTTCAATTCATTCATGTTGCCCTGTATCTTCTCAACCCAAAAATAAGCACATTTTAACTAACACATTTGCTCTACAAATTAATATTGTAGCTTCATTTTCATTATTTCGTATACAGCTCCCTGTGTTAACTTCTGCTGGCAAAATAATCAGTTTATGAAGGTAACATTAATATTTTAAATGTCAATTCTCAAAGTGTGTGGTCACCCTATCAAGTTGGTTTCCCTGAACTGATGACCTCAATTGTAACATGTTTCTCATTTCTGTGCATTTTGGTGACTATTCTAGTTTGTGGGGACTTATTTGCGACTACGGATGAAAAATGATTTTAGTCTACGAGCCTATTTTCTACTTTTAATCCACTGCAATGTCTCTGATTTAGTGTTTGATTTATAATTTACATTTCGGGCCCTTAAATCTACCCTGAACTAAAAATGATGTATTGACACTTGATTTAGAATGACCTCTTAGGCTTCTGATAGTTGTTTTGATGTGTGTGCTTTCAACCAGGAAGCTGATGTTTATTTGTTTATTTGTTTGTTAATTTGTTGATTCAGAGCCCACATCATAATGATCATTGATTACAGGCTTGTTGCCACTTCCTGATGTCCTGCCCATTTTAACGAACTGTTTGCCTGATAGTACCATAATGTTGCCAATAAATGTTTCTTTTCACGTTAGAGACAGTGTGCAGGAGTTTACCTTTGAGTTTTTGATGAACATATTTCTCTCTTACTCACCTGTCTGAAATGGATGTGCAAAGGTTTTTTTCTATACTCAATCATTCCTAACTTAAACTATTTATCTAATGCCTTAATAACAACCCAGCAGTCATACACATTTCCCCAGAAGGGAGACACTTGACACCATTGTCAATGCACAGTGTTTTACTGAGGTGCAGGGAGCGATTATTACCAACATCCTTTTCTATTTGACCTCCTGACAGCAGCAATGTTACCTTGTTCATAAATCTCGGCAGAAAGTTGGTCATTACTGAGGAAAAGTATGCGGACAATTATAAAAGTGAAATTGCAACCAACCTCAATTATCTTGTAAGTACAGACAAGACTCAGTTCTTATGAGGCTAAGATGAAATCCAAAAAAACAAATTTAGTCAAAAGTTTGAATCTGTTGGGATTGCTTTTCATCGAGTGTGTCAGCCTTATCCAGAAAGAGAAGGGATGTTCAGCTTTGTGCTGAAGCAGGTGAGTGTCAGGAGCTCGATGGTTATACATTTCTTGAAAGGGGACAGTTCTTGGTCAAGGCAGGTCATGACACTCGTTTCAGAAATGTCATCTGTTATTTATGACTCTTTTCCAAACCAATGTGCGTGTTTTCCATTGAGAAGACACAGAATTGAAAGATGTTTAATATGTTTCAAAAGTGAGATTTTTCAGATGTTGATCTAATTTTTGCCGAAACCAAATCTCACCAGAAAATCAGATTCTGTCATTGTATTCATCAAACTGATCAACAAGAGATTTTCAAGTTGCACCTCATTTATATTGGGACAAAAATGAACAAAATAACTTTTTTGTAGTCAGAAGTGCAAAGATAAGGTTCCTGCACATACACAGTCTTTGTTTGTGATGTCTCTGAAACTTGTTTGTGAAGTCACACCGCCCATAAAGCACAATTTGTGATGAAAGTCTTTATGTGTGTTTTTCTGCACTCATACAAGATGCAAATGCACACACATGCACAGGTTGTGCAGTCACACACACATTGAGCAATCGTAAAGGCCATGTTGGACAGGTTTTTGGTTCCCAGGAGTTCAGTGAACTTCTTCTACTCCTCCTCTTTCTTTTCTCATGGTTAGTCATCCTTTTTTTCTCTCTTATCCTCGCACAGGGCTGGTCCTCCTCCCAGGAACCCCTGCTCGTTCGCGAATGTGTCAGGACTGAGTAGTCAACCAGGTCCTCCTCTGGCTCAGGGCCAGTTTCACTCTTGCTGGGTTTCACTATAATCGAAGATTTGGCAATGAGGCCTGGGAATCAGCAGGTGCACAGACAGGTCTGTCTGGCTGCAGATAAAACCAATTGGCTCACTATTGTTGTTCCTTCGCTTTTGAATTTGGCAGTTTGGACACTTTTGTTTTGGAGGAGACTTTGCAGCTTCACTTTTACACAGAGACAAACTACCTGTTGCAATTTGTTGTTATTGTCTTTTCAATTAATAACTATCTGCATGTGTGTGTGAGAATCTTGTGTAACAATTAGATTTGAATTAGCACGGAAGAAAAAACTAAAAAACATAACAAATTGAAAGACCTTCTCCATTTAATGATAAGCAATGTAGTATTTACAACATACAGCTGTAAAACATGTTTAACTAAAAAAAGGTTAAAATTGCACATGGTTGCTATTTCAATATTTCTCATGTAATTTCCTCAAAGAATACATTTGCATGACAAAAGCTGCCAATCACATCAAGTGCACAGGTCTGTTGATTAAGAAAAAAACCTGTCAAAACATAAACTGTCAGTTTCGGTGTCAAGCAAAGCCAGTGGGAATCGCTCCAGTTCCTGGCTGTGACTATGCCTGCAGGCAACAACGATTATTTCTGTCCCACAGTTAGCAGATTCAGCTTGCCACTGTTAATCTGTCGCTCGTCATTCATGCAGTCGAATCATTCACGGGGAGGGTAATATGCAAACAGCCTCAGACACTTGCAAAGTCAACAGCAGTTTGTAATCAGAAACCTTTGCACATCTTGCAGGGCACTTTAAATACACCTGGGTCATTATCAGATACACTTCTTCTTTTCTGCATGTTGTCTGTTTTTTTTTTGGCTTTATCTCAATCTGCAGTCATCATGCACATAATGACTTCTGAGTGACAATGATCAAAGCTGTGCACAGCCAAAGTACATGCAGCTTTCAAGATGAGACGACCGAAGATCGCTCTTAGCACTGAGGGAACGACGAGATTATTAACACTTCAAACAGTCAGCGCTCGTTGTCACTCTGACGACCCACAGACATGCAGGACATTAGTGACTCTCTTCAGCTCACTGAAATGATGTGTGAAGACTGCTCTGATGTGTCTGCAGCTTTCATGTGCTTTCACTGAATTCACATTCATGACTTTCATTTGTTGGGTTAAGTTTATTATTCCAAATGTACTGGAAAGTGGATGCACAAAAGAGAAAATGCACTCAAAACACACACACACACACACACACACACACACACACACACACCTCAAACACTGGAAAAAGAAGACTTCTGCATTTTATCTGAGAAACAGTTAGCACATTTTAATTGTTGTTGCTCTTCACTTATTGTCTGTGAACTTTTCTCTTTCTCATGATATGTTTATTAGGATGTGTGCTGCTGCTGTCTTGCAGGTCACCCAGTGAAAGAGATCTCGATCTCAATGGGTTCATTACCACATTATATAAAGGTTAAATCAAATTTTAAATAAAATGAAATAAAGACAATGCAACACAGTAGAGTATCAGTATGAATAGTAATACAGGCATAGATGTAAATAAAATTATTCAGCCAAATGTATGTGACACAGGTATAATATCAACAGAGATTTGTAAAACTGAATGTTATTGCTATGAAATAAAGCTGTCTTAAAAACGTTGTTTCAGTTTAAACATTTTAACAAAAAATATATATTGAAGGAGTTCCTTTTTGTTTCAAAGTCCAATCCCTTTTTGACTGTTAC